TCCTACATGACGATTTATAATTTGATATATTAATGTAATAATCTTTTCTTGTCACGTATATCAAATATTAACTGCTATACGCATGTCACGTAGGACGACTGCGTTAGTGAGTTACTGCAAATAACATCATTCTTTCAAGAAACCTAACTGGAAAGTCATAAATGCTACACTAAAGGCAAATAACACACCCTATTTACGAGAAAAATAACTCTTAATTCCACAATTACTTCAAAAATAATTTGAAGTTCAGTTTCACGTGTAAATTATTATTTTTAATCAACGAGGGACAACTTTATGCAAGCCACCGGGAATGAAAAGAATGCAATAGACAAATTGCAAAGCCTGATTTCTGGGCAATATTTTAAAGTTTCTCTGGCATGTAAGCATTTCGGATTGAAAGGTGAATGGAAAGCATGGGCAGCTGATGTATGAAAATCTTTATAAATCCAAAGAACCGGTTTATCCTATGGCTAAGCACTCAAGCTAAGCTCCTAACAAATGACAAGTTGGTGTACCTTAATATCGATGGAACATGTGATCTATGTGAATCATCAACTGAAAACGATTCAATACTTATTCTTTCAATGTTCATTGAGCTCCTCCATTTAGACGCAGATAAGATCATGGCTTGGCATTACTAGATCAATGACTATGATTGGTAGTGTATTGAAGTGGATAAAAAAGGAGGCACGTGGGACATCTTGGCGTAATAAAATGAAGAGAATTGCTCTTGCAAGTACAGCTTACTACATATGGATGGCTCGAAATAGAATTTTTTTTGAAGATCTTAAGTTACATTTGGATAGCATAGTGAGACGGACTAAAACACATGTATATAAAGTCATGTTTTCTTTGTATCCTAATATTTTGGTTCATTTTGAATCTCTAACGTTGTGTTGATAGATCCTTGTCGTTTGTACATCTTTTAATTTTTATTTGCTCGGGTACGTCCGGTGTAATTGTACATGAGTTTTTGATAAATGGAATTTACATTTACCAATCAAAAAAAGTTAACTTGTTGCATTTTAGGGTGGTTGGAAGGTAAAGAAAATGACACCATGGAGTATGTAGCAATAAGTTATTGGGCTTTTGATTGTACTGTCATTATGCATCTCTAGTAAGGCTGACATCGTGTGATTAATATTGAAGGTTGCATCCATGCCAATATTGTAGGTGCTTATGACTTAGAATAATGAGAGTTGGAAAATTTGCAAAAGCTAAAAATTTAGAGTCCATAATAAATCTTTGAATCATTCAATTTAATTATATTCACCAAAAGATTAATTAAGCTAATTAACAACCACAATAATCTAGGTGGAATATTAGAATATAGATAAAACTAGACAAAATTAAACAAGGATGTTAATATTTTATTTATAGTATTGGTCATCTATCACAAGACACTGTCCTAAAAATCAAATGTACCTTGGTAGCTTGCACAAAAACTTATTGCCTGGAAATGACAAGACGAGCATCCAAAAGACTGAGAATTTCTAAAGGTTATACATCTCCTTTCCAAGAGAAATAATTAGATGTATGCATGGGCAAGACTCACGTCAACATAAAAATAATAATAAGTTTCATGGTTCATTTTCAACTTTTTGTTAATGTTATGGAACAATTCACATGAGTTTAGACGAGAGTAAAAATAACAAACTAGCATTCAAAAGTAGGCTTTACGTTTTTTTTTTATGTGCATGATGACATTTTAGATGAAGAAATTATTAAAAAAAATTAAGATGAAAATCAGACAATAAAATCGTATTTTAAATATTTCCCGTCCAGTACAATGTATAGAGAAATTGTTTGAATATCCATTATTTTGGAAATTTAAGACATTTTGATAGATAAAAACTACTACTCGAATTTGAAAAATCTTAAAATTGAGCTGCTTGACATGAAGTTTAGGATGTTGATTCTTAATCCAAGTCGCAGTTGTGGCCGAGACACTAAGGAAGTGGTGATAAAGTCATGATCGATAGGTTTGAATCCACTTTGTGAATAAGTCAAAATAAGAAGATACAAGGGGAGTTCTTCTAATGTTCTTTTGTCAATTTTGCAAAATTATTAAAAAAAGGATACTATTGTACTTTTGATTGATTAATTGGTGAGTTGTTTAACCCGTGGCATGGGGACTATGGATATTTTCCTTCAAGGTTTACCATGTTATATTCAGTGTCTGAGTTTAAATGTGATACTTAATTGAGCATTTACTTAAAAACTATTTGAACGCATTATCCACCTGCACGTTACAATCAGAACCGTTAAGAACTTACTATAGGAAGTTCGGACTATTTCTCAACCAGTATTATAATTGTGAAATTAAAATTCAATTCTAATTTATCTAGGTTTAGAATCTACAACATTAATTGCTAATTGTTTATAAAAAAATTCGCCACAGTGGTTGCGAAACTTTTGGGCAATGCGAACTCAATTGTGATTGAAATTTAAGGTTCTATAAAGATTTCTCGATAATTAAGTTTACGTTTTATGTGGTAATACATATAGTAGATAAGTTTTCTTTAAATAAAAATCGAATATACAGTATCCTAGAATTATTATTACCTACATCATAACTTAAATTTATTTGCATTTTCTTAAATGAGTGTTTCCAAGTTGTTAGAATATCCATAGCTCATATCTATATATTGAAATTAGATAAAACTATGCGAATTTTGAAAAAGACATATATAATTTAGCATTTATCAATTATTCAATTTAGTTTTACCATTTTAATATATTGGATGCACTATTAATTAAATATTTATCGAATTGAGAATTTTATTTTGTTATCATTCTAATCGCTGTGATTGTCATTTTTTTCCTTCTCTTTTCATGAATAGAAATATTTAATAGTTCATTGAATCCATTGGTTGACCTAGAATATATTTGAGAACCTGGATTTATTTTATATAATAAGAAAGCCATAACCGATTTTTCAAATTCTATTATTATTTTGTAATATTTATTGTGATCGAAGCAGTTCTTTTGTGGAGCATATCTTCATACTCTTATGACATTGTAAAAGAGAGAAAGGGGTGCTATGTAGTGAGAATCATTATAATTATATACCAAGAAATTCTTGTTGGACACAAGACAAACACTAAATATTTGAAGAGATGGGATGCTTCTCACAATACCCATATGGACAGTCGGTCAATATTTCAAGTGATATTATTTTACTCAACAACAAAATATTTAACTAATATTTATATGGTCATCCGAACTTGTGATTGTGGTTAATTATTTTATTTCATTGATTTAGGTACCAAACATGCTTTTTGAGGGAAACAAGTTTAATTGAGGGAAACAATAAATGTCTTCACCTACATGCCTCTAAACCACGTTGAAGAACAATGAATGTTTTTTTGAAGAAAACAAGTTTAATTGATTGAACTTGTATTGGAAGGTAGCCATATATGTCTTCAAGGTACCTGCCTCTAACCAGGCTATTGATGTGTTTTATATGAAGAGGTACACATTACTATTAATGCTTTCAATAACTTGTATACATTTCAAGAAATCCAGTTGGAAAGTCATAAATGCTACACATAAGGCAAATAACTCACCTTATTCCAGAGAAAAGTAACTCCCATACCGCGATTAGTTCAAAAATATTCTGATGTTCTGTTTCACGTGTAAATAATTATTTTTAGTTGGAATATATATGCTACTTGTATATAATGTGATGTCCATAATGTCATCCACCCCCCACATATGGAGGGGGACCCACGGTAGCATCACCCTTTTTAGTCAACGCCACTGATCAATATAAAGCTTGAAGAATTAGCATTTCATTTGTTCTTTTTTTATTATTATTCTTCTTCTTCTTCTATTTAATTATAATAAACTGGAAATGTTTCACAATACTTGATTTGAAAATGCATTTGCATTGTGCTCTTTTCTTAAAATTTGATTCAAGTAGGTGATATATTCAAATCAATTAATTGGTTGCAGTATAGGGAGGTTGAGAGGTAAAAACTCTATGTCTTTCAAGAAAATGGCATTGTGGAGTATGTAGCAATAAATTATTGGGCATTTGCTTGTTTGGTTACTATGCATCTCTAGTAAGGTTGACGTCCTGTGATCACCACTTGAGGTGGAATCCATGCCAATATTGTGGTGCTTATAATGACTTAGGGATTATGAGAATTGAAAATTATGCAAAAAAAAAAACTAAAAATTTAGAGTTGATTATAATTTTTTTGTGCCATTCAATTTAATTATGTTCATCAAAAGATCAATTAATTAACTAACAATCGCAATAATTGGGGTGGATTATTATAATTAGATAACACTAGACAAAATTATATAAGGATGTTAATATTTCCTTTATAATATTGATGATCCACCCCAAGACACTGTCCTTGAAATCTAATGTACCTTGGTAGCTTGAACAAGATTCATTCAGATTTTGTGTTACTAATGTGTCGTCAAAAATATAAACCAAGGACTAGGATAACTAAAATGGAAGAGAAAAGGGATTTTATGGCGGAGTAGATCGGGGCTATTCCTTTACGTGTAAATTTAAGTTAAATTGAACTGTTAAAGATTGATCACACCAGAAAAAATATTCTATCATTGAGCTTATTTTCTTCTTGTCTTTGTCATTTGTTCAAATGATAAAATATTGAGGGCGTGGTAAAGCATATGTGGTGGCATATTGGAGGAGTAGGGTTCTAGAGAGATCATATATTTGTTACAATTTCATATGTAGCAGTAGTCCGTAATTTCTTCGATTTTTAAATTAATTATGTAAAAATTTTGTTATTTTTCTCCATATATATTCATATATATTTCTCTCTAGCAATACATTTTGAGTACAAAGATCATGTGACCAAATTATGTTCTCCTAACATATTATTGACTTCATACACGTAGAGTAATAACAAGAACTTTTATATTTATGCATTAACAATTGAATGATGGAAGCACGTGCATATCTACCAAACCCCCTCCCCCATGTGTATATATGTATCACACATAAGATGAGAGAAGGATAGAAAACAAAATCAAAATTTCAGGTTGTTAGAGAAAAAAACTTAAAACAGATGTTTCCTTCAGTGATTTTCACGTTCTTGGCTGCCTTTCAGTTCCATACTTTTGAATTTCTAGTATGTGCAACTGATGAAAAGAGTATCTTCATACTCGCCGGCCAGAGCAACATGGCTGGCCGAGGTGGTGTGACAAATGGGACTTGGGATGGTTGTGTCCCTCATGAATGCCGTCCTGACCCAAGGATTCTTAGACTTAACCCAAAGCTGATGTGGGAGGAAGCACGTGAACCTCTACATGGAGGCATCGACACAAAACCTTGTGGGGTGGGACCGGGGATGTCATTTGCAAATTCAGTGCTACAAAGAGATCCTTGCCTCGGGGTGATCGGTTCGGTCACCTGTGCTCCTGGTGGAACCAATATAACCGAGTGGAAACAAGGCTCCGATCTTTATTATCGGCTCTTGAAGAGAGCTAATGCAGCACTACGAGATGAAGGAAAAATTCGAGCAATTCTGTGGTATCAAGGTGAAAGTGATTCTGCAGATGAAACAAGAGCTAAAATGTATAAGAAGAGGTTGATAGAATTTTTCCTTCACATCCGGCGAGATTTACCTTCCCCTGTGCTCCCAATTATTCAGGTATGGTTACTTTGCAAAATTTGCGTAAGGTGAACTGATATTCTTTAGATCTGGTTTGATTTTTCGTCCTATTTTCTTAATCAACCACATGGGGTTTTAATTTTGGATCAAATTGATTTTTTCGGGATCTTTTCGATTACTCATTCTCTTTGCACTCTGCATTTTAATTCCGTTGATCAACATATGCCGTTGGTCTGGTAATTTTAGACTTCCCCCTAAAAATGGGGTTTTCAGTTCGTCATCAATGAGTTTTCATCTGAAAATGTGCTGAAATTAGTTGCTAATTGGTTTTATTGTATTTATGCTTAATGGTTTCGGGGGCATTTTTGTACAACTTTTTGAAGTTTTGTTAAAATGACAGTATTTGTTTTCATTTTCCAATGATTCTCATATATATATGTCAATTAATTGTATCTTGTCAGCACAAGGAATATTTTATATCGAATAAATCATAAAATTATATGATAATTGGTTGCAGGTGGCATTGGCTTCAAATGCAGGGCTCTATTACGAGGTTGTAAGAAAGGCCCAACTAGAGATAAAACTTCCAAATGTAATATGTGTTGATGCCAAGGGACTGGAGGTGAAGAAAAACGATACACTTCATCTTACTACTTCAGCCCAAGTCCACCTAGGAAAAATGTTGGCTAATGCCTTTTTCGATATTGGAATTTATAGTGTTTTGATCAAGGCATGGGTGGAAAAAACATATTAAATGGGTAATATAGTACTTGTTTGATATAGATTTTTAGCAAACAATACTATATGAAAATTGTTAAAAGACAATCATTGAAGTAGTAGTTAGTGAGAGGAAAAAAAAAAAAAAAAACCTCGTATAAATTGTTGCGTATTCGTTGCAAAAGACAAAATTCATTGTCGAATGGACAAATATTTTCTTAATCAAAAAATCAACAGTACAAAGAATTATTTTTGAAAACTGAAGTTGAAGTTACACTTAAGGAAACCCATAGTTGCCAAGTTGAGTTGAAGAGTTCTACCCCCATCAGGCTTTTACTACCTCATTCGATTACTTTTTTAAACTTGTTTAGGTGCCTATATAATATTGTTGAGCAAATGTTTAATATGGAAGGAACTTGTGTAATTACCTATATAATTTTGTTGAACAAATGTTTAACTTGGTAGAAGCCTGTCAAGAAATTAATGATAATTACTATAGATGATTTTCACCTGAAATAAAACATTTGAAGCTTTTAACAGCAATGAACACGTGTCAATCAATAAGACAGAATTATCTTGAGATTTACATCGGTGCTATCCAACCAAGGAATACACAAATGTATCTTTGAACTTTTACTTAATATTTATTTTTTCCCAAATTTTTTGGAAAGTTTTCAATTTATTTAAATATTTAAAAGCAATAAAGGCGTACGAATATAACAAGAAGCTGACTCGCAAGTCAACTAACCCCCAAACTGATAGATACATTGTCCGAATGTAAGAACAAAAATAAGTTAAGGATTAATAGAAATACTTCCCATGTTATATTATGATCCTTCTCTATGGCGTGTAGCCAAGAATTGATTGGTGCGACATAGTTTCACCCCAAACTTAAATTGCTTTCATAGTCCCAAACACGTGGGTATCTGTTCACGTGTACTGTTCGCAACAAGTAATAAATCGAAAATTGAGTTCGAATGTCGTCCCACAGAGATTAAGTAACCTAACTTTATCTATCTTAGCCTTAATTGAAAACCAAATTATCTAACAAGATAAATGTGATTTGATTAACCCAAACCTATATTAAATATGCAATTGAATGTGAATTTAATGAACTAAAATGCAAAGTTGCATTTTAAATGCAAGATTGATGTAATTAGTGAATGGAAAGTGCACTAGGATCACGAATCCCAAGCAATCCTCACTTTTGACCCTAGTTCCACAATTTGACAACACATTAAATATTTTAGAAATCAATGCTCTTAAATCTATTCAACAATCTTTTTTGAGTAATGTTGAACCTATTCTCATTTACCATCAGCCTATATTTCTATAATGGGTACAACTATACAAGAATGCATGTAGTTTTGTGAGCACTTAAAGATTCACACAAGACATAAAAGTATATCTCTGTCCCTATCGAATCCTATGATGATTTATACCCTGTTGAACTTATTCATCTTCTCTCAAATGCATAAAATAAGTTACCACACTCGCATAATTACGTGCACATAATCATGGAAGACATTAATTGTATATAAATCATTCAACGATTCATAACAAGTTTTGATGTCAAAATTGCAAACTAGAAATTAAACAGTTATATCACAATGTTCATCGGTCTCCTAGCCCATAAAAATCTAGCCTAGCATGTTAGAAGTAAGAAAACAAAACGAATTTTGAAGGAGCGACATCATCCAATTAATTGTTGATTTGAATCTTCACGTCTTCGTGTTTCTTCCTCATTCTATGCTCTCAAAATCCTTGGGAATAGGTTAGAATGCGTGGTTAGGGACGGCCCTAGGGTTGTAAAACACCTCTCAAGATTTGTTTCCATAAGAATTTTAGTTAGATAAGGAAACTAGATTTTTTCGCCACGATTGGCCTGGGCAGTCGCCTAGTTATACTTTTTTGCCTCCGTAATTGTTCCTTGATGTTGGATAGTCGCCAAGTTTATAAAAACTTCTAAATGTTGCATTTTAGTCCTCGAATTCAATTTTTGATACTTTCAAATCCTTTCTCTTGCAATTTCAACCCTTTGACTTTTAATTGCATCCAACTGAACTCGCAACATCTTCAATCCTCATTTTGTGGTCCGAATCAACTATTGAAATGTTACAATTTAGCCCTCATACTTTGAATTTTTCCCTTTTTCTTTTCCAATTGCTTAGAAACAAGTTCATCACTGAAATAAATGAAAATTTACCTAAATTAAGTAAAAATAACACTTTCATGACATAAAAGCTTAGTAATATGGTCCAAATAAATGCATACAATGCACTTATGAGTCCCTAAGAAAATAATAACGAATAAATTATTTTTAGGATGACAATCAATTAGATAAATTCAGTTTGAATAAAAATAAATTAAATTAAAATAAAAACAACTATAGTATGAATTCAAAAATATCACTCTTTTGGATTGATGATGAAACCTAAAACCACCACCATTACCACTTAAAAAATATATATTTGGAGATATTTACTTATTCAATCTATATTTCATTTTCAGTGTTCATTCGATATCGATCGTAAATTTTTATTTTTTTTAATAGATGAGTTGGATTTTGGTTCGTTTCGCTCGCACTAATTTATTATAAATATTTTCATTTGTGTTTTCAATATGCTATAACTTCTTCTTCTTCTTCTTCTTCTTCTTCTTCTATTTTTTTTTCCACCCTGAGTCAATGACCTTGTAAGAATTCACTACCACTTGAACTAGATTTGTTGTCGAATATGCTATCAACTTAATTACTTCATATGAAGGATGCTTTGACCTTTTGTATTAAATTAAAGGGCGTGGTAGGGATACTTTATGGGAGGTACATCCAATCATTAATAATTTGAACTCCATTTTTGTGAATATAAAGTAAGATAAAAATTTTGAAACATGATTATTAGCTCCCCTAGAAAATTGAATGTGAATTCGTTTATAACCATTCATTCACCTTTAACAATATGTGCACTATGCCATTAGCCTCCAAATCTTATCAAAGGAATTTATGTATTGAGAATGGAAATATTCTATTCAAACAACCTTGATTGATGGAGAATATGAATGGAAGCACAACACCATTTTTGATATATTGATCGAATAAAGAGACACAAAAGCCGCTTTTAAATCTGTTTGGCTAATTTTTTGAACGTGTTTCTTTTAGTTAGATTTTAGAGGAAACTAGTCCAACGTGGCTCCTCTAAAATTTCTTTCGGAATAAGGTCTTTAAAAAATAGTTTCGAAACAAAAATTATGTAACTATTTCGTTAATATAGGATTTAACATTGTTTTTCGCTATTCACATTGTAAGAAGACCATAATGGGTTACAAATACGCATAAAAGATGGCAGAATATACATCATAACTAATAAACGAACAAACAACTAAGCCAGCAGTGGAATCTATTCTCGACTAAGCCAACAAAAAGGCTATAAAATTATCAGCGTGTATATGGTTATAACTGCACAAGACTAGAGCATTAACACATTAATGTAAAAAAAGGATGCTTTCTCTCAACAAAAAGGCTAAAAAATGTCCAAGAAAAAAAGCATGACTAGTAAAGTCCCCAAAAAAACAGAAAATTTCTAAACAATCAAGATGATACACAAAATTATGAATGTTGCATGAATACACGAGGCTAAAGGAAATTGCAAAGGTGATCAAGCGACCATTTCTTAGATAGAAGAAAATGGAGTTGATTCAGCAGTTCCACAAATGTCAATAATTTGGAATTAATTTCCACCAAATAGTACACATACTTAAATATAAATGAAAAGGGGGAAAAAGATTTTTGCTTGCTTACCAGAAGAGAGCAAAGGAAGAATGTAGAAAATGCAAGCCCCCTAGGGCATAGCCTAATGCTGCAAAGGACAGGAGTGAGGTTATCTCACGCCTTGCTGGCAGCCACAGTGTGGGGGTTCAATTTTTGAAACATGAAATTGGACTCCTTGTAGGCGCAGTGTACATGTAACTCTTGTTCCCTGACCTGTTGGGACACATCCCGTGATTTACCTCCCTTACAAAGCTTTAGGGGCGGTAATGGCCCTCAAGGTTGGGGTTCAACCTTTAGAAAATGCAAAGATGATGTGATTTGATGGGGACAGGGGTGGGAAAACCTTTGGTCGCAAACGGTGAGATGGTAGATTTCTGCGTTGAAAAGTTTGGGATTAATTAATAAGAATAGCGAAAGTTCCACAAAAGATGCTAGTGCATGTTTAGTCTTATTTGTTAAGAATTTATTCTTGTTTTGTCAAAGTGAATTTTCAAAAAATGAGTGGTTAAAAAAATAAAAAAAAATAGATTAATGTGTTATTTAATAAAAGAATGTATGTTTGAAAATTAATTTTGAAAAAATATATTTTTGGGAAAAATAGAGCCAAAATAGGGGCTTAGTCCTGAATTCTTTCCGAACTATGTGGTCCGCAAAGCACCCAACAATCAGTTGAGAATGATAAGAAAAGTTAAATGAAAAATCTAGTTAAATAATTTGCATTATCTCGTACATTTCTTGTTCTTTCATGTATAAACTGTGACCAAACTTTAAAAGTTTAACTTAAATTTGCACCAACTCTTGAAATAATGCATGGATTCGGCCAAATATTCTTTTCAAATGTCATACCAACTTTTGAACATTTTCCAATGTTGGAAGAAGGGCAATCAATTTATTTCATCTTACATTTTCAATGTAGAAAAAGGGCAATCAATTATTTCATCTTAACAATTCATTCACCAAATTTCGTACGGAACGAATTCTTCCAATTAATTTTCTTTTCTTTTCAAAATTGATACATTTTCAATTATGAGATGTTTTTGGTGACAATCCTCGAAAGAAAATAAAAGGGACCAAGCTAGGGTAACATAACGGTTGACATAGGGAATGACCGAACACACAGCTCAGGGGTCGGGCCTTATTTTATTCACGTGGGACCCGTGCACTTTGTGAGGGGTCGATCATCTCGAGTGTCAAACATTTTCGAGAAAAGTAACATTTTTCAACTAAAAAAGCTGCTAACATCTTAAAAATAGGTTAGGTATCTTTTTACTATTAAAAATAAATTTAAGCATTCAATTTATGTTAGGTCAACTTCATTTTGTCACATGACCTTTGTACTCAGAATATTTTAAGATATGGA